CCTAGATTTCTTCAGCTGGTGCTGATCCTCTACGCGGGAGAGGACGATGACAGCAGCACCAGGGCTGCAGTCAGGCAAGTGGCCCGCGTACATCCTGGAGTTGGACCGTCTCTTGTGATGTCCTCCCGGATGAGGTCTTTCACAGCTGACTCGAGCGGAACAGTTCGAGGAGAGATTGAGCACACATTTGTCTGAATCAAGAGACTTGGGCATAGTGCTTGGCCCTTTCTCCAAAGATGAAGCGGTCTGTGGACGCAGGCCTGGAGAGCTCTGCGTGGGGACCATGGCGGCCATCCACCATCTTTGATGCTACCATCTGGGGGCCCTTCAAAAACCATACCCTATCCTACCCTAGCCTAGCCTAGCCTAGCCTAGCCTATCCTATCCTGTGCAGTGACCAGCTGTACACACCTGTTTTCGGTTGTGTGCGCAAACATAAACGCACACACACACACACAGAATGACAAATAACACATAACAGCATCTGGAAAGGAAGCCTTGGGGTCTGAACGAACGTGAAGAAAGCATCGCCCAACGCTTCTCCTTGCACTTGCAGTCCAGCCCAGGCTTGTCGTTTGAGTTGAACACGCTGCAGCGAGCGGGGCTGCAAATGCCGCTAGCTTTGGACCCGTTCCAGGAAATGTTGCCAATGTAAGCATCCTGGCATTGGCAATCATGGCCTGGCCTTTGATTTGAGTTCGTAATATTGCACGGCGCCGCTTTGCAAGCCAGCTGCGACCTCCATACGCATGGAGAAGCCGTAGTCTGCCAGGACTGGTGCTGCCAAAGCCGTCTCTGCACCACCCCGCTTTCCACTTTGCGTCCGTGGACTGCACGGCATTTGCCGCGGGCAACACTTCCAATCCAATTGATCCATCCCTGAAAGTTGTCGTTGCACCTGCAGCTCAACCCAGGCTTCTGATTTGAGTTTGCCACCCTGCAAGGTGCTGGGACGCAGGACCCAAAGGCCTTTGTCCCCGCCAATTAATGTCTCCTGCATACCCATGTTTGCAAGCACAGGATTTGCCTGCAAGCTTGTTGGAGTTCTCAATGTTGCACGGTGCTGCAGTACAACTACTCTGCAAATCTCTGTCTTCAAACTTGCCCTGAAAACCATCACAGCATGTGCAAGTTTTGCCAGAGCAGCTGCAAAGGTGAAAGTCCGGAGAGTGTTCCAGTCTCAGACTCACAAAGCTGGACTTGCTGCCGAAACCATGAGCCTTCAGAGTGCAGCTTCCAGAACAGTTGCGTGGGATCTGCAACACTGGCGTGCGGCGCAGGTCAAACTGCATGAGCCGGTGCCTAAAGTTGCGCTCAATGGGCTCGCAGTTGCCACATGTAAGGCTCACACGTGATGTCTTTTCTGGCGGCACCTCCACTTCCAGTGCAGCTTCTGTGCTTGTCAGAAAGTAGTAGGTCTTGTCTTGCGAAGCGGGACTCAGGGCGAGCCTTCAAATTAATAATACTGGGCGCAGTCTGGAAAGTTTGCATGGCAAGGTAGATTGCTGCAGGGAAGAGCGCCACCAAAAGGCAGCCAGCGAAGAAATGAGCCAGGGGACCGTATCTCTGAGCTGGGAAAAAGGCCTTCCTGCTGCCATACTTGACGAATACAGCCAAATCTTCTCCAGCAGCCGTTGCAAGCTTTCGTTCCCTGACTGTGAAGTGACGGTCAGAAAAGCTGCTGTCAGTGGTATTCTCATGAGTCCCTCTCTGCCTTTCAGATGCAGCCTGCAAGCAAGCCATCATCTCAGACTCAGAGCTTCCAACGATTCTAATGAATCTGATAAAGTGATGTCCGCCTTCTCATGAAAGCATGTGTCACGCAGCTGCACCTTTGGCGATTGGTACAAGCTCCGCACGTTCACCCAGTACATGATGACAGCAGTGCAACTCACAATGCGCTGAAGCAGGACAGTTTCAGGTCGGTCTGCATGGATGCTCCGCCGTTCCAGGAGAAGCACGCCTACATAAAGGAGCAGCATCACAGATGAGGATGCGAGCAAGGCTTGCCCAACCCAGGTGCTTTCAAAGGACCCTAGTTGGAAAGCTTCTGGACTGGCTTGTAGCATCACACAAGATTGCACTAGTAGTAACAGCAATGATAGACACAAGCACGGTCATGCACAGCAGCAAAGTTGGCAAAGCACCTGTGGAGTCTGCTGAAGAACTGACCGAATGTCATAGGTGTGAACGACAACATTCTCTCCAACATCAACAAGAAGACAATCGCCCGCCCCCTGCTGTGGGCTCCCGTGCAACTCCTGGAAGACGACCTCACCCTCTTCAAGTCGGATGTCAGCAAGGCGCACCGCCGCATCAAAATCAGGAACTTGTTCTGGGTCAATCTTGTGAGCACCTATGGGGTTGCTTCCGGCCATTGAAGCCGGGTGGCTGCTCTCCTGACACGACTCACCTACCACATCTCGGTAGAGTTCTTGTGGGTCATGGAGCTTGTGGATGATTTCATGCTTCTGCTCCGTAAGCAGGCGGGGCGTCTTCCTGCTGTTCCTCTCCCTTCCTGGGTGCCCTATTTCGTGGCACGCTAGAGCCGATGCTGACCAAGCTTCAGTTGGGGAACTCCACACGAAGCCACAGGTGACGTGGCGAAGTGCAAGCCCGGTCAACTGGTACGCTTTCTTGCCAGGTTGGCTCTATCCATGGTCCTAGGCCGACCGCAAAAAGTATCCCGTATCCTGTACAGGTTCGGCCTTACTGCTAGAAAGCGGGAAAACCTGTCCTGTGCGAAAGCATTGGCTGGGTGCGAAAGCATTTCCACTACTAAAATACGGATGATGCTCGGGGTGTCGACCGCTCCATTCACAAACTATCGCGACGTCTCTTTGTAGCCGGCGGAGAATCATCTTCTTCACTACTGCGCCGAGTCCTGTCGCGCTGAAAAACTGCAGTTGCGCAATTTGTTGTGTAAGTAGTTTTATGCCGCCGAGCAGGTCTCAAAAGCCGAGTTTGGAAACAGCGTCATCGCTGATTTGCAAGTGGAAGACCAACCCCTTGTGATGCTGAGGGTGTATGGACCAGAGAGGTGACCACTTTCATTAAGGACGACCATCAAAAGCAGAACGATTTACGTCCATCGCCAGACGTCTTGTCAAGTAACCCTTTTTGCGCTCACCAGACGGGTGTGTTAACACTTCTCGTTACAAAACAGCCGTTGCGGTTCCCAACTCGAGTTTTCAAAGTCATTGATCGAGTCATGTCGGGCTCGAGGAGTGCAATTCATTTTTTCTGCAAACAACTTCGACGTCGCCTAGCGAGTTTCGAAAGTTAATCTACTTCTGCAGCGAGAACTATTAAAGCTACGCTTGCCGCAGGTGTAAATACCTTGAATAATCCAGTTTTTTTGCGCATCTTGTTTGATGTGTCATTTTATATTTCTTGGAACGATCGTGGAAGAGGCCTCATTCCGACTTTGGGCTGAGACCCTTTGCAAATTGATGAGTACCAAGGGAAGGTGCAAGCCGTACAGAATTATAGCTACATGACGTACCTTCGCCTATTGCCGTGCAAGGGGTGAGGTCTAGTCGCATCGGCTTGTGTAAGCTCGCATCGATCGCGCGTGGCCGGTGGGGAAAGCAGCCCCGCAAGCAACCGGCCCAACTGTATGTGTTGGAGTCCGGCGGGTAAACACACAGCAAGACGTCAACTGCGCGCCTTGTGCTCGCGGCGCGGCACGCTAGGTGGAGACGCGTGGTCTATGCGATTGCCCTTCCGCATCTGTAAAACCTTGATGACCAGAAGACTGGCGTGGCCGGCAGGAAGCACAGAAAGTCATCAATTGTTCGCTGGTTGCGTTGGCTGAAAACGCTTCTTTTGCCCTGTGCCCAGGTGTGCTTGCAATGAAAATAATCATGAATGAGACTTCGCGCGCGCTGGCGTGACTTCGCGTGCGCGCGCGAGGCCATGCAGTGACGGTGACCACACGCGCGTTGATGTGGCTTACGACCCCTTGCAATACACATCTACATGTATACAAGGACACATTATATGCACTACTACCGGCACGCGCATTTCCTTGCACGCACACGTGCGCATGCGTATGTGCAAGCGCACGCATCTTTACTCATGCGCCTAAGTAGTCTCATTTGCATATCTCTGAAGCATGCCTATGGTCAACTAGGGTTTGTTGAGCGCCCCCATGGTTTATTCGGAATGGCCGTTGAAGTGGCCATGCCGGCTAAAGTGGCGTCTTGGGCGCTTGGCAGGATTGAGATGGGCTTCCTAGTGCTGAATTCCCTTTCCGCAGCGCCCTTTCTGGCAAACTGGTGGCTGGCGCCATTTCAGAAGCTTGGCGTTGACAAAGTCATGTTTTAACACAGGCAGGATCCAAAATCCTCAGTTTAGTCAGTTTTGGACCTTCACAGTTACAGCGGGATGTCTTGGTGGAGCCGTGAATCAGCCTGTTTGAGCGCTCGTTCGCTTGAATGCATAAGTGCGTCAGCTGTCAGAACTGGGTATCTTTCATTTTCGCCAGTTGAAACGAAAATGCTTATACAGTAACCTGAGTTGTTCCTCACAAATGAGAGTGCAGGCCAAGGTACGTGTTGACCTTGGTCACTGAGGATTCTTTGGGCTGTTGTCAAGGTGACTCGAGCATTAAGTGGAGGCCACGTGATAGATGAGAAGGATGTCTTCAAGCCAGAGGTCTATGGAAAGCAAAGAAGATGGCAGATGATGGGCTTCTTCCTATACCTGACATCAACCTTCATTTATTTTGCCCGAGCCATGTGTGCTGTCATGGACATCCACGTGCATGGTATTTCACCTTACGACTGAATTGAGCTGTGCTTTCCCAGCGCCTCACAGGGAGCGCTGTGCCAGCTTTGTGCAAATGCGTCGCGGGCTGCCCCGCTGGACTTGACTGCCAAGAGACCGCGGAGAATCTGTCCATTTGTCCAACGACAGGGGAGCTTTGCATTGCGTTTTGATTTGGAACTATGGCGACGCATGCCTTGAGTATGAAGCGTGAGTTTGCACTGCTCGAGGTCCCTGTCCCTCGTGCTACTCGACGAAAACTTGCCAGGTCGAGATTCCGCCAGTGCCCCATCTTCCCGCCGAATGAATGGAAGTGAAACGACGCAAGAAAGGCGTTTGCATTCATTTGCAAAGGACTGGGTATGACTGCGTGATATAGGAGTTCAATGCGCTTTGCGTGCTTTTATGTGCTTTTCGTGCTGGCTGTTTCGAGGCCAGGGAGATGCTGTCTGAGGCGGGGGAGCGGGACAGTGGTCAAGGTCCAGCCGTTCAATTCGAGAGATGGATGACTGAAGGCTGATAAACCTTAGCAAAGGCTGAGGGTTGTTCAAAAAGGGCATGCCTGCTTTTAGGCGCGGGGTCGCCTCTCGGACCTTTTCTCTGTTTGAACATTGAATAGCCCTTGCCCTCTCCCTTCATGCCAGTTGATGGAGATCATTGATTCGCTGGTGAACACAGCTTCGGCCTCGGGGCTGGCCAAGATGTTGGATGGTGATGGAGCATTTTAGTTGTCAGTGCCGCTTAAAAAAACAAAAACACGTTTTCATTCAGTTCCCACTAAAATGATCAGCCCCACATGGAGGTTCTCTTTTGGTACTCTCGTCATTGGGTCTTTAGCTTTGGCTTGCTGAGGCCAAAGCTAGCAAATCCAAGCGCGGGCCTCATTTGCGAGCATTTGGCATGAATCAAACTGGTTGGGTCTACCTCACAAATGGTTGGCGGACACAAATCTCCAAAGGAGTCATTGGCTGTATTATTGACAGTCTGGAAGACATGAGGGCACAATCCAAGTTTTCCATGTCCGGAGCTATGTAAGTTGTACTCTTGAAGCTGCGGAGGAAGAAGATGGCGGAGCAGTTGGCCAACGTTGCACCGGTCTGGGGCCCGTAGGGCGGTGTAAGGCCTTTTGGCCTTGTCAGTGGCGGTTTCTGAAGGTTCTTGAAATCTATTGGAGGGAGGCGTTCCCTTACTGCCTGTATGCATGGGTGGCAGCCGCGGGCGGGGTGAACTGGCGAAGAAGTGACACACGCGCGCACACACACACACAGCACTCAGTGTGACATCCAGTTGCGGGCACATCCAGTTGCGCAAGGTGTGACTACTTGAAACAGGTTTGTTGGAAATTGCTCCTGCATTTTCTGCTTTTGGCATAGCATTTGGGAACTGACGAGGTAGCTGCTGAAAGCTACGTGGCGGACTCCCCGCCATTAGTGCGAGAGGCCAGGTGAAGCAGTAGACCTGCCCACATTGATTGCAGCAGCGGATCAGAAGGTCGCAACGAGTCGGGCGTCAATTGACTTCATTGTCAGAGATAAGTTTTACTTTTGACTCCCGGAAGGCTTCCAAGATGGCATGGAGGGAGCTGGGCTACTACGCTGCAGCAGCAGTCCGAGTTACCTACCACATGCAATCCGACACGAGCTGCCTTTGAAGGTTGTTGTAGCACTACGTCTTATCCGTAAATTTGCAGTTCATGTCTAGATGATGTCCACGGTGCGCGTCGGCGGATTTCATGGTCAGTTGAGCTTGGTGCGGTAGAGCAAGCAACGCAGTGCCAGACCCTGGCGGTCGTCTAAGGATGAGACGCTCCGCTCCTTGTGTTCGTCAGCGAGCAGCCCAGAAACGAGCATGGCCAAGGAATGCAGCGTAGCTCGGAGAACCCTTAGCATTTGTGGCAGCTATTCCAGCCCCCAAGCATGCTGGTACTGGCCTAGGCGAACGGCAAGTGAGTCACGTGAGTAGCGTTGGGTATCATTGACTGCCTGCGGAGTCCAGGCCGGGGGGCTTAGGTGTGTGGAGCGCCGGATGCAGATGCTGATGCAGAAGCGCCGGAAGATGAAGAGGACTGCTTCAGGGGACCCTAAATGGGATCTACCATGTGGGTTCTGGCGCACGATTTTGTGGGCCGGGCCGGGTCTTACGCTAGCCGGCTTTACCGGACCCACTTTTTGGCGCTTAGCATGCATCCATTCTCTCAAGTCCACCCGCTCAGCTTTGAGCGTGCCGTGCGAAGTACTTAAGTTTAGGCAAAACGGCTTCCAAGTTCAATCAATCCGGTCAGCCTGGGCGCTGTGGCTGCTGCTGGCAGTTGATGCTGAAAGTGGCCAAAGAATGTACAGGTGTAGCGCTATTTTTGTTTCTGCATGAAGCGCACAGCATAACACATGAAGCATAGAAAGCAAACAAGTCAGGACGTTTTCAACCGGGTTGTCAGTC